TTCGGTTTAGAAACCACAACCGTTTCAAAACCGCAAAACCAAACCGTTCGGTGCGGTCCGATTCAATTCGATTCGTGTTTCGGTTCCAAATGCCCATCCTTAGACACCATAGCCCTACGGGCTAGTGTTAGGCCAAGTCCAAGAATTGGGCCACATCATGCAAGCCCGTTTAAAAAAAAAAAACAAAAGATTTGGGCTTTCGGTTTCAGCCAAAAACACCCCAGTCGGAGCTAGGTGCAATCATCTGGGATGAAGGCCAATGTCGCCGCTGCAGGTGGTCGTGTTTTGGAAGATGGTTCTAGGTGAAGGGCCATGAGCAAATTCCTAGGGATTGAGGGAGTACCTCGACATTGGGGGGGAAAGAAAAGAGAAACACCATGAAATTCAAACTAGAATTTCACCCAAATTTGATGGAATTCTTTTGGAATTTCAATGATATTAGTTAAAAAATCATGACACCATGTCGGATTTTGCCAAAAAATTGCACGGCAAGGCTGTTGTCTTGTTGTAGGCAAGTTGGGTTTTCTGGGTTGGATGCCATACGCATCGGGTTTCAAGGAGCTTGATGCTCTGTGTTTGCTCGGGGTCACGGGTTTGAAGAACCCATATGGCATTTTCAATTTTTTTTTTCAGATTATAAAATTCAATTATATGCATATACAATTTAATAATTTAATGCATGTACATATATTTGATGCAATTCATGGAAAATATCAAATTCACATAATTAAACAATTATGAAACGTAAAGTTGGGTCATGCATTATAGTGAATGTTCATGCTATCAAGGTTGCAAAAATATTGAGATAAAAACCGTTGTTTTGGAAGAACCTGATTGCGTAATGATATGGATGAACTGGTTTGATGCAGAAAAACTCCTCGTCAGATTCCTAAGCGCAACGGTGAGAGCGTGCTGATAACGTGTTGTAGCCTATTTTATCTGACTAAGGGGAAGGGGCCAGCTGCAAGGAGAGAGAGAGGAGAGATGTGTTTGCAGAAATGTGTGTGTGTTAAGGGATATGTTATTCTCCTACGTAGTGCCTTTATTTATAGTAATAAGAGGGATACAAGTCCATATAGAAAAAAATTACTATAATCAAATCCAATTTAGATTTACACAATCACACTTTAATAGGAAGTTTACAGCATAACTATGATTGTATATTTTGCAATTTTTCAACTATAGGGAGGTACCATTGAAATATCAAATCTGAAGGGTGTAAAGTGTACCTTTCCATAATTTTAAGCGATGTATAGTCGAATTAGACTGGCCAGGAAACCACACATTTAGCTAAAGTTTGTTAACTTTCCTTGGGTATTTGGCCAAAATTTGTCAATTTAGTCAGACCCGACAAATATGTAAATTATAGTAGTATTTGGACAGAGAAAAAAAAACTTATTGTAACAGAGTCTCTAACAGAGATTGGGTTCTATCATTGGATGCGAGACCCATATAGTGTTAGTAAAGTGCGGCCAAAATAGTGGAGGAGGGACGGGCAGGGGATTTCTAGGTGTAATGGTACTTAATTTTATAGGGGAGGTTAGTTGTTTTGCATGCAATTATTGCTGAAAAACTAATCTCGTTTAATCTTTCTCATTGAACTTAAATAAAAATACAAAATGCAAAAGTTTGTCCTAAATTCCAAATAGCCTTTGTGTAAAAGGTAAAAAAACTCATTCAAAGGTTGAAGATTAGTCAGCCACTGTGTGTCGACAGAATCCTTATCTAGTTTTTCCATAAGCTTCAAATTTGATGGAGATCGAATTAAGTAAAGGGAAATTTTATTTAAACCCATTTAACCTCTTTTTACATCCAATTTAAATTTTAAATATTAATTGTCTATTTTACCCTATTACATAATTACTATTAAGTACAAAATGAAATTAATAATAAAACTCAAATTTATCAATAAACCCAAAGACTATAATTAAACCCTACGATCACTCTTTGTTTATTCTACATTCATTCTAGCTAAAACTTTAATAGCTCCCATAGAGAAAAATAAGTTTTTTTATTGATCGATGGTGATTTTGAAGTTTTGAATCCTCAAACCAAAGTATGACTCAATTTATGAATTTTTTGACATATTGAAGATGACGACGCACCCAAATATCACAGTAGTAACTCACTAAGAAATTCTTGTTCCCTATCTGGGTTTGTGTTAAATATTCCATGTTTTGGAGCAAGTAAATGTTAAAAAAACATTACCAGCAAATTGGCAGAGGAGGAACAAAACGTCCATATGATGGCATCAATGCTTGAGGATCAGCTCCAGTTCCAATCAGTACATATCTGATTTCCTTGTGCAATGCAACAGAATGAATCTGCATTACAGATCTTATGAAAGCTTAATTTTTGTTCTTTTAATAACGCAAGCATTACGGAAATTGCACCCTCAACCCTGACGGTCTTGCAATTCACAAACAAGCCTAGTACAAGCAAATCATTACAACACATTGATACTTTACCCAACCATTGCCCCAAAAACCAAGACTAGCTAGCTATTTGCAGAGGAAAGTTATTAGCTTCGCAGAGCAGAGCATAACAGGGACAAAGATTGACAATCACTGATGTTCAATGGGTGTAAAAATAAATCCACATATTGAATTGGAGTTATAGGGGTATATTAGGTATTAAATTTGGGTTTAAAGAGATATTAATAGTTTAGTTAAAAATCAAATGAGTGCAAATAGTAAGTTGGGTGTAGAAATAGGTTAGATGAGTTTAAATAAAATTTTCCTTAAATAAAAGGGAGTCCAACGCAAGATGAAGTGTATAATAAATATAAATTAGGAAAATTAAGGACAAATAAGACAAGTTTAGTAAAATAAATTTGAGCACTGGACCAGTCTAGTATTGAAACTAATTAGTGAAAGCCGCTGTAAACTAACTTTGTATGTAGCGCGCAAGATGACTTTTTTGTCCCTTACCAAACCCTCAAATCCGTGCTATATAAGAAGGCTCTGGGATGTGTACAAAACCATGTATGTGCGTGATAGAGTACTGTTGAGAGAGAGTTGTAGCTACAAGGCCACTGGAAAACTGAAGAGAAAGCATGGCGGGGAGAAAATCTTTTATTCTTGCTTTGTTGTTAATTATTTTTGTAACTTCTCGTAAATCTCTCCCTGTATATATCGCTAATAATAAGCACGTCTGATTATAAGTGGCTAGAAACTTTAGCAACCACATTCATCACGTGCCCTTGATATCAGTGACTATTAGTGTTTTTTTGTTTTTTGTAATGCGCACGGTTAATATTCTTAATCTGCTAGATAATTATCTCAATACCTAGCAAAGTAAGAACTCAATTTATTAAGTATTCTAATAACATCTATATAAATTTTTCATATGTGCAGAAGAGACAGTGAAGCATAGTGAAGCTAAGACTTGTTGGTGGTGGAACGGGTACTTTTGCCTCCATCGTGGAAAATGCGCAGACTCATGCCATAAGGCTGGTGGTATTGACCACCGATGCATAATGTTACAGTGCATCTGCGGGAGGCCTTGTCCTCGTCCTGCCGCTCGTCCCTAAACTAACGCTCATCACTCAAACTACATGCAAGAACCCATGCCACTATAAATTTTATGAAAAAAAAATTGTGCTAGCAGTGTTCATATACGTTACATATCATTAAAATAAGTTGCATGACATTTTCATATTACGAGCTAATACAATTTTATACTATTTTTTAATTATTACTGTTGAATCAACCAATTGGAAACTTTGCTGTTACGAGGGTAATGTTATATCATTCCATGGTTATCTAATTTGTGAATACTATGAAGCATTGAAAGTTCGAATTGAGACAATCATCCTATGATCTGTAACAGCAATGCAAGCCAAATGGCCTCAGTTTGGCAACAAATACAACACATTTTTATGTAGTTTCGTCAGTCCCAACTCAACCTCCTTGAACATACATTACACTGGTCTATTTGTTCCTAAGTTAATAGGAGACTTTCTTGGGTACTCTTGAGTACGGTTACTTGGGTATTTTAAATATTATATCTTTGTTTAAATATATAAAAATCAAGATCTAACGGTTAAAGCACTCGGAGTATTTGGTACTCCAAAACACCTAAAAATTTTATGTTAATAAAGCTAATTAATACGTCAAAATTTGATATTTTACTAGAAGTTATACATGTGTGCCCAATGCCTATAGAAATAAACAAAGGGAAAGTACAAGAGGGATTCCTTCAACCGAATCGATAGGCGTTTCGATATATAGGAGGAAGCCAGCGACAAGAGTCCGTTTTTGCTCATTCCCTATTAGTTATATATGAACGTGCAACATATATAAATATTCAAGTATAGGAATTATATCTAACCCAATAACTCGGGTCGAGCAATTGTTTTGTTCTTACGTACAACCGTCTCGAGTGAGCAACCACGGATCCACATGAGTTAGCGTTTTTGTGTACAAGTTTGGGACGTAGGGCGGTGAGTTGGCTACTTAGAATTGCTTCTATAGAGTTTCCTCTTAAGTCTCTGCCTTCACCTTGGTGAACCGGGTATTTGGCAGAGATTTGTGAGTGAGGAGGAATTTCCACGGAGAAATTTAGGCTATGGCTGCTGTGAGGATGCTCATAACCCCTCTCCCTAAGACCTCTATTTATAATGGTCTAGTTAGGGCTAGGGTGGATGCTTGGGGGCTAAGCCAAGCCCCATAAATTTGCAAATATGATTATACAGTCCCTATTGAAGAAACCATGTAATCTAAATGATGCCACTACCCTTTCTGAAATTGGGAATGAAACTTCAAGAAAAAGTCCTGTCAGATACACTCAAAATTGACCCCTCCTTGAAAGCCATCATGCACCTTGATCTTCTATTCATATAGTCATAATACTTTGCACCCAATAAACAATCTTTATCAATGGCCATTTTGGTGTGATTTGTCAACTTGTACTTATACCCATTTAGGCACCTGTCCACCAAACCCAATATATATAATAAATTCAAGAGTGAGGATTCAATAGTTTCACTTTACTTGGCCATGGAAAGAGGCCAAAGCAAAGGCAAAGCTAAAGAAGAGGGACAGAGAGATATGAGGTATAGAGGTGTGAGAACAAGGCCGTGGGGGAAATTCGCAGCCGAAATACACGATTCGACGAGGCAGGGAGGTTGGTTGTGGCTTGGCACCTTCAATACTGCTGAAGAAGCTGCAAGGGCTTATGATAGAGCTGCTTTTTCCATGAGGGGTCCTCTTGCAATTCTCAATTGTCCAAGTGAACATGGTTTGAAAGATGCACGTCACTCTGCTGTTACTACTTCCTCGTCATCTTCTTCGTCTTCATCTTCTTTTTCATCGTCTTTGAGAATCCATAATGCGACCAGGACAGAATTCGGAAGAGAAATCTTCGAGTTTGAGTGTTTAGATGATAGTGTTTTAGAGGACCTTCTTGATTTTGAGAATAATAGCAAAAGTAAGTGAAGAAAAACAAATTAAGTAGCATTCTTTCTTATTCTGGTTCTGTAATTTTAAGCTTCCAAATTGTTCCACACTATTAACTTTTCAGTGCCATTTGGACAAGTATTATGAATGTTTCTTGTTATTGCGATGTGCTTTCAGTTGATCCATAAACAATGCCAAATGCAGCCCCTGTGTTTCTTTGTTCCGCCGGCGGTGTGGGATTTGAGCCGTTTAGATGAATGATGTAATAAAACACTGGTGTCGACTGCTCCCATGTGAGTACTATGAAGATGGCATGCGTTGTCAATCTACTAAACCAACTATTATAATGCTTTATTTTTTCTCTTAATCCAACAATTTTTTTTTTTTTAAACTATACAACGTTGTTTTACACTAATAGGTAGAGTTTATTAGGCAAAGCTGCACAATGGAACACAAGCCCGTTTGGTTATTGCTTCTTTTTACCAAAAACTACTTTACTTTAAAGTAAAGCAGTAAAAAAATATTTGATAAAAATAAAATATCTTGCTTAATTTAAAAACAATGACCTTCAAACAGCAACTTTTAAAAACAACTTGTAGGTTGCTTATAGAGCTACTTTAATAAAAAGCAGACTTGAGCTTTTAACGAATATTTTTAATTCCTATAATACACTCATTAATTTTTGAAATGACATATTTATCCTTGTAGACACATGTTATCCTTAGAGAACACAGTGACCACCACTACCATTACCACCACCATTTTTGTCACCACCACCACCTCCTTTACAACCATCACCACAACCATACCAGCCACCATTACTAGCACAACTACCACAATCATTGTTGCCGCCACCGTTACCACCACCACCACCACCACCACCACTAGCACAACCATTTTCCTCGCAATTGTTGTCGTTATCATCACCCACACTATCATGCATGTCCAGTTTTAGTAGTATATACAATTATATCATTTTTACATTAAAACTTACCAAACACTTTTACACTTCTTTTCATACTCACAATACTTTCAAAAATACAATTTATCAAACAATCAACTATTTTAATTTGCAGCTGATTATTCTTAAAGCACAACAGAAGTAGGGGTGAGTTCAAAAAACCGAAAACCAAACCGAACCAAAACCGAAAAAAACCGAACCGAACTGAATATGGCTGGTTCGGTTTCGATTTTTAAGGTCCGGAAATCAAACCGGACCGAACCGAACCGAAAAAAAATCATATATAAATACTAAAAACATGTTGGCGTCATGGTTTGAACCCTTTCCCTGCAGGTTGGGGTTAATTGCTGCAAGCCAACTTGATTGTAGGCCTTGAGTTGTTATAATTGCACTAGTAAGTTATTTATAGGTTTCTTAAATTTAATGCTTTATAAAATTTCTTAACTTTACAAACCTAGCCATCTCACTCCCATCCCATTTCCCATTTCCCATTTCAGATCTCAAACACTCACACTCTTTTTCCCCTCTGCTGTTTCCTATCTGCCTTTGCTTCCTCAGTGTCTCTCTCTCTCTCTCTCTCTCCTTCCTCTCTTCCTCCAAATCACTCTCTCTCCGGTTTCCAGTAGTCTCATGTCCTCCTCCTCTTCTTCCAAACCATGATCTTCCCTTCTTCCAAACCATGATTTTCCCTCGCCCTTTCAAATTGAAACCCCCTCCAAATTGGAAGATTCTAATCTTGGTTTTCTAATCTCTCACAGGTAATTTTCGAATCGAAACAAATATGATTTATAATTTTATATTGTGATTTACTGAATTAATAGACTATATGATTAATCAATGATTTCTCTTTTGTTCATATATGTATCAGCAGCTCCTAGTTTGTTTCCCACTATTTTTTTAGAAACCTTTGAAAATACAACCCTGGTTAATAATTGGTTTTGTAAATTCCATGAAACCAACAAATATTAGATTTGAATTTATAAATTATTATGTGCACAGCTAATGTCCACATAAAATGGGTTTTTCTTTTAATTATTTTGTTGGGATTTTGCATATTATAATCTTCCAATTTGGTAGCAAATGCATAGGTGTTGCCATGGCTGACGAGTGATGAGATGTTTAGGACTAAAAACAAACCCCCAAGGTAAAAATCTCCCTGGCTGGCTGCTATTTAGTTCTATTGGGTTTATTTTAATAGAAAAATCAAAGAATTAACACATGCATGTGTTTTTTTTCTCTGCGAGAACTCTTGGATCCACAACAAGAAAGACGCACAGACACCCAATAATGTCAGATCCATGGCCGATCGTCCCAGTTCGTATTCATTTTATGTAGAAGTTTCTACATCTTCAGTGCTCAATCAATTGTTGCAGATTGGTTCCAGATTAAAAAAAATTAATGGAAAAAACCGAACCGAAAAAAACCAAAACGAAAAAAAAACAGAAAAAATTGAACTGAACCGAACCAAACCAAAATTTCAGTTCGGTTTCTGTTTTGGCTAAAACCGAACCATTTCAGACCGAACCTAGCCCTAAACAGAAGTAGATTTAAAAAAAAAAGCACAACAATCACAAACTAGTCGTCACAAGCAGAAGTCAAACCTAAAACAGTGACTAAACTATATTTGAAGATTTAATGTCATAAATATTATTAATCAAAAGTCGGGACTTTTTTCCTAATTTAGAAATTAAAATAGTAGAGTCACTTAGTACTAAGGTCTACCCATATTTCTTTCATTTGTAAGTGAGATATCTTAAACTCAAATATCTTAAATGGCGAATTTGATAATTTATTTCTCACATGTTAGTGTAAATATATCGTTGTATAAAAAATAAAAAAATAAATGGAAATTAAGGAGGCCACGATTTTATACCACATTTGTGTATCATTTGATGTGACAAGTGATGTGTACATATCACGTCAATTAATGAATTTATCTCATTGAATATTGATGATATTCATCATTTGCCACATGTGATAGTACACCAATATGGTATATGTGGTATCTCTAGCATTACCCTAATAAAAAAGCATATGGAGGTTTTTATGTCAGGACTTAGAACATCTTTATCATACTTAATATTCACGAGTAATGTTACGGTTACCATATTTTATGTACCACATTTATATCACATCTCTAACAGAGATTTTGATAAAATATATATATATATATATATAAAGGTCGTACCCAGTGCACAAGGCTCCCGCTTTACGCGGGGTCTGGGAGAGGTGAATGTCGGCTAACCTTACCCCCATTTATGGAGAGGCTGCTCCCAAGTCTCGAACCCGAGACCTACCGCTTATGGGCGAAGGCATTTGCCATCGCACCAAGTGCGACCTCTATATATATATATATATATATATATAAATAATAAAAAATAATAAAAAAAACTAATAACTATAAGATTTCAGTTAAAGAAGATTGGTGGCTAGGGACCACATTCAAAGTCTCCCTAATAATAAAGTAATTGTTTTTTTTTTAATTTTTTTGAAATAGAATGCAATATTTCATTCATCGGAAAAAGGCATTACGAATACATATAGATTATGAAGAACTCGATCCCAAAAGGTTCTTTGCAAACTAGATATAAAAAGGGCTGTGATATCCACACACCCCATTTTACTTCTCACACACCCTTCTAATTTTCAGCCGTCGGATCAGATAAATTGAAGAAGATCAACGGACAAAAATTAACAAGGGGTGTGTGAAAAGTAATTTGAGGTGTGTAGATAGCACACCCCTATAAAAAAAATTACAATAAAACATCACCAATTGTAAAGCAATGAGTAGACTTCAAGCACTCATTGAAAGTTAAGCTTATCAAGAACCGCAAGATTACGTAGATTAATAAAACCATTAAACTTCCTATCTCAAATTATATTGAGATAGGAAATACGATGCCCATGAGTCAAATTGAGTGTATTTTTATCAAATCAACCCTCATCTTGAACTTTTGGTTTCTTCAATGTAATGGAGATTTTTCATAAAATGCCAAAATGATTGATGGTAGATAATTATAGGGATCACTTCTATCGATTTTAAATCTTAAAGACCAAAGTGATGAGTTATGAAAATCTCAAGCACCATTTTAGCTAAGCCCATTGTGAGGCTAAGCTCAACCTTCCCTTTGGTCTAGATAATATCGCTTGATCAAAAAAAAAAAATCATTTTGGCTAAAAAGCCTTTCATATTATGACATATAAGTAATTTAATATTAAAATTCTTAGCTTGCTAGGGAGATCACATTAGTATACCATCTCACGAGTTAAGTGATTCATACAACTAACATCTAATAACATAAATTCATTAATTGATGTAGTAGTAAGTACACATCACTTGCCACATCAACTGATACACTAAAGTGGTACAAAAATATAATCGCTCTAACATTTTTTCTACAATTTTAAGTGAAATGAGTTAAACAAGATGAAAATTTGTTGGGATAATAGATCATATTAACAATTGGGTTCTCAGTCCTGTCTTTGCAATGCTGTTCTGCATCGGTTAGCAAAATCCCCGCTTTATCAATTGGGTAGCGCATTAGTTTGGCAATATAATCCTCTTAAAATGATTCAATATGTCCTCTTTACATGCACTCCGAATTAAATCAATCAAATAATTTCTTCTTTTTTTTTTGGGTCGGAAGAACGATTCAAAGAAACAGAAAGGCACAAGGCCAAACAAGAAGCAGAGAGCATCCCCACAAAACCAAGCAGCTGGAACCAAGATAAACAGGACATAAAAGACGCCAACAAACAGGACTCCAGCATCATCCCATCTACCCATACAAAAAACCCCACCCTTTACATTGGAGGACACGAAAGACCGTCCTTGTTCAAAACACCCACGAGCGAAGATGGTGGTCTTACAACCCAGCCGAAGCCGCACATCTCCGGAGATAAATTCCTGGCGACAAAATCCGCCGCCTTATTTGCTGACTGTGGAACTCACGACCAAGAGCATGATTGAAAACTCCTCCCAACCTCCAAAGCACGGCTAAGAATTGGGAGCATGTCCCAATCACAACTCAGAGAAGGAGAAATGAGGTACCGAATAATAGCTTGAACATCCGATTCAATTACCACCTCTTGCAGTTGAAGATTGTTTGCCAGTACGCATCCTTCCAGAACAGCAAGCGCCTCAGCCATAGCAACAGAAGTCGCGTGCACCCTCACACTCCTTACCGCAATGCATCCCGAATAATCATCTCTGACCACAATCCCGATATCACCGCGTAAAGAGTCACTCCTCCAACAAGCATCCACATAATTTCTTTGGTAAAAAAAAAATCAACAGTAACAGTTTGAGACTACTGAACAAAGGAACTTCTTCAGATGATGCAAATTAAATGTACCCCTTATTTCCAATTTTTTGGGGGTAAAGAGTAAAATAGAAAAAACCAAACAAACAAAAGCTAAATATCAGTGAATTTTTTTCCATAATGTGTTGGTTGCCCCTGCCTATAATGATCTTCTTTTGTATCAAGAAGCTCCTCCAAGACATTGTTGTCCAAATACTCAAACTCAATAACTTTGTCTTCTTCTTGGCCTCTTCCAAAATTAATACTCCTTCCAGGATCAACACTTGAAAATGAAGATGAAGAAGCAGAAGATGAAGACGAACATAAAGTGCTCAAAGAGCTTGAAGGGTTGTGGTATTGGTAGTCATTTGGAAAGTTGAGTATGGCTAAATGGCCCCGAAAGCCGAAAGCAGCTCGGTCATAAGCCCTTGCTGCCTCCTCAGCTGTCTCAAATGTGCCTAGCCATAGCCGTGCTCCATTTCTCGAAGGGTCACGAATTTCAGCTGCAAACTTACCCCATGGCCGCTTCCGAATCCCTCTATATCGGTTTTGACCTCGTGCCTTCGGTTCTTTCTGCTGGTTATTATTCTCCGGTCCTCTCTTCCCCTCCATACTAATATTTCTTTTTCTAATTGAAAAATACTTTGATTTCAAATTTGGTGGCAAAATATGGGCTGTGGCATGCAGGATATATAGTGCATGGTGGTGTGGTCTAATAAATTAATTTGGTCTAATCTGATAGGTGGTGTGTTGGAATGTTTTCTTTGAATAAGAAAAAGCAAATTTACCTTTCGCCATCAAAAATGCTTTGACCACTTTGTGACTATATATAGACGTATTTTCGTTTATTTTATCTATATATACTTTGATGAAAGGGCGAATATATCTATGTACTGAAAATCAATACAAAATCTCAAATGCAGAAGTAAATATACTCTCTTATTCACTTGAGCTACAAGTCTATTGCGACGTTTATTTACTTGATTCGGTGGTGAGGGATTGGCCGGCTGGCTGGCTGGTTAGCCAGAGGCAGAGTGAGCCATATTACTACTCTATTGTCCTAGTGTTGGGTGCCAAGCCATCTTAGGCTTTATTTTACAATACATTGGCGGCCGTCACTGCCCCCAGGTTGGTCTCTAAATTGTTTCTGTTCGGTCAAACGAATGAAACGACATATGTATTGCTTAAGCTTTATTAACCCTAATTAATCCATATCCGTTATATTGGGAACAAATAATGGACAAATCCAGTTGCATCCATATATCTTCAGGACCAATGTTAAGAAGCAATTGCAAACCTTTCACATGCACTCAGAAGTCAAAAGCCCAAACCCAAACCCAAACCCGCACTTAGAAATTGGGATTAGCCCAACTTAATATGTTTTAAAGACTTAATTGTGATTTGCTTTTGCTAAAGAAGTTAATTATTAATCAAGTTGGTCATAACCCACTATCATCGCCAAATCTTCCGACCTAAAAGTCTGAATCCACCAAAGTTGTCCTCCCCATTACACCTTGTAGGCACTATTGAGAGTGCGAATTTTATATTGGAAAATACGAAATTTTGCAAAAATTTATAAGGAGTTGGATCATCGCACCCCCGATAACCAATTAGCAACTAAGTGTCTCAAGACTTCTAGGGTATGTTACTTACATGATATGAAGATATGAAGATATGAAGATATGAAGGAATGAGGGATTAGAATGAATGGCAACAATCCCCTTGTATTAATGGGATACCTTTAATCTTTAGGAATTTCATACCCAAAAGTGATGTGTTCCACATAATAAATCAATTCCCTAGGTGTTAATAAACGCAAGATTGAGAATTATGGCCCTTCATTCGCATTTTCATACATTCTAAGTAAACATACCCTTCTTATGAGCTTTGCAAGTGGTGGCCTAAATGTCCCATCGGTATAAATAAATTGTCCTATTATGCAGGTGCCAAGGTTGTCCTTGATTTATATAATTCTTTTTAAATTGTTTTAACCGTTGGATTTAATTTTGAGCCATCAGATTTTTTTACCAATAGATTTGATCTCATTTAATCATAGTTGTTGGGATATAAGAAAAAAAAAATGAAATTTAATCGTTGGATCACCAACGGTCACCTTATTATGACCGTTGGAATTCAAGCCGTTGCAAGTTGTGGTCGATGGGACTATGTGGCGTAGGCCCCACCTGTTTCAGACATGCGTGTGGCTGTTTCTGCTGCACACGTAAGAGAATGGAAATGGGGTTTTGGGCTTCACTCACGCACGTCCTACTCTCATGGATGGTTTGGTGGGTCGAAAAAGAACTAAGCCTGACTTAATTTTTGGGGGGAACCTAGCCGAAAGTATATTTTCTCTCCGAAACTTATTTTAGCCCAAAGGTTACAGATGGGTTTTTTTTTTTTTTTTTTTTTTTTTTTTGGTGGGGGTGGGGTGTTTAAAGCTTATACCTTAAGCTTTATCCAAACCATTGGAGATGGTCTTATAGAGATTTTGAGAGTCCTTGTAGAGAAAGTAATCTCCATTAAATTGGGAGACTATCTAGGAGATATCTTATTCTTCTAGAACTATGATTACATTGCCTAATCCCCATCCTAATTTGACTTGAATTAGGGTTTCCTTACTTGCGAGACAAGTAACATCTTTAATAGGCCTTAAGCCTAGTCTGCCAGACTAAAGCTATTAGAGGCATTCGGGCCATTCTTGCCATCTGTCATATATGGACCCAAAAATCATGGTCCCCGAAGATCATGATCCCACAGGTTTGTCATGTTTGTCGTCTTTCTGACGGATCTACCCAGGACTCTTGCTTGTGAAGTTGTGATGGTCGATTGTGGTAGCCGTACAGGGGTTTAAAATCATTTGCATTTGTGCGAAATATCTATAGATCAAGAAATTGTACTCATCTAACACCTCTTGTAATCTTGTATTTGATTGTTCTTGGTAATGAAACACTTTATCGCTTTTATTTAAAATTAAAAAAAAAACTAAATGCTTTTAAGATTCTGCATGATTACATGTGTAATTAAAATTATAAATAATTTTGAGAACTAATAATTGAGAAAAATCTTAAATCTTGCTTAATGATGTGGCTGGCATAATCACTTCAGTAGCCACATCATGTGATCTATAAATATAATCTAAATATATAATCTTCCTAACATTTTTCATAATGAACATAATACTTTTTGGAAGATTTTATTTGAAGCAATTGAACCTCTTCTACACCTAACTTATTCTTTACATCCATATTATTTTTAATTAAACTTTTAATATATCATTAGACCCAAATTTATTGCCTAAGAGTTGGGAAACATGCAAAAACATTGATGCAAAGAATGTAGCTGTTGGTGGTTTGGCAAATTAGAATTTAGATTGCAAAGCAAAGACTGATATATGAATGCAGACATGAGGAACTTAGCTATTATCTAACTGTGACTCGCAAATTAAGTAGTAGCAGTTTGATATGTAATGCAATAACAAAAGCAGGATTTTATGGTTATATGTAAATTAGGAAGTAGAAGACTTGGTAAATGGTGTCCGTCCAAAAAGAACAACAAATACTTGGTAAACTTATACAGCTAATAGTCAGAATGTTAGTGTCACATCTCGGCCCCCACCACATCCTGGGCTCTAGCACGATATTGTCCGTTTTAGGCCTCGACCACGCCCTCATGGTTTTGTTTCTGAGAACTCATATGAAAACTTTACAGTGGGTCACCCATCATGGGATTGCTCTCGTGCGAACTCGCTTAACTTCGAAGTTCCGATAGAACCCGAAGCCAGTGAGGTCCCAAAAGGTCTTGTGCTAGGTAGAGATGAGAATATACATATAAGGCTTACATAATCCACTTCCCTGGGCGATGTGGGATGTTACAATCCACCCCCCCTTAAGGGGCCCGATGTCCTCGTTAGCACACTTTCGGCCAAGGATTGACTTTGATACCAAATTGTCACATCCTGGCCTGGGCCCCACCACATTCCGGGCTCAACTCCATCATAGCATGTATTGTCCGCTTTAGGCCCCGACCACGCCCTCACAATTTTGTTTCTGGGAACTCACACGAGAACTTCCCAGTGGGTCACCCATCATGGGATTGCTCTTGCGCGAACTCGCTTAACTTCGGAGTTCTGATGGAACTCGAAGCCAGTGAGCTCCCAAAAGGCTTCGTGCTAGGTAGAGATGGGAATATACATGTAAGGCTTACAAGATCCACTCCCCTAAGCGATGTGGGATGTTACAGTTAGTATATGACATATAAATTAATAAATCAATAATTCAACTCTTGCATAAATAAATTCATATTTTAGTTGGAGGATTAAAAAATTCAAAATCACCTTCCATCCGTCAAAAAGAGCTTATTTTTTTCTTTATGAAAGCGTCATAGGGTTTTTGCCAGAACAAAACGCACGTAAAAGTTACGTAATGGTTAGGGTTTAGTTATTGATTGTGAGTTTATTAATAAATCTTATTTTTCTTATTAATTTTATTTTGTACTTAATGGTAATTATGCAATACAGTAATAAAGATATTTCACATTTAAAGTTTAAGTTTGGTGTAGAAATAAGTTAAATGGGTTCAAATAAAAATTTTCATACTTTTTTTCCAAACTAGACATGCATACCTTTTTTCACCTTTATTCTAGCCATTATCTTCTTCTCCCAGTCTTCCTTCAAATATCTCCCAACGCTAGTTTTGGTTTTTAAAAGTGGCACATTTTTCTCTTTATACAATTTTATTTAAGTGAACTATTATGCTTAAGCCAAAGCAAAAATTACACAAATAAAGAAATAAGATTTGTACTCTTTTTTTTTCATGTGTAAAAACAATGTATTGAAAAGGATCTCATTGTACTTTTACACTTTGGGCACTAAAAATTCAAGAACAGTCTGGCATCAATACGTAGAAAGCCACCCTAAAATGGTGAAGCTTTTGAAATACTTAAAATTGTCCTCCTCTAATTAAGATTATAAAAGAAATAATTTAATTTAAAAATGATAGAATAGTAATTAACTTTCATGGTGATAATTGAAGGATCCCCACATTTTAGATGGTTATTTTTAGGATTAATTAGTTTTCTTTCACATTTTTAAAACAATAATAAATTTTAAAATTAATTTATTGAAAAAATAATAAAAAGGGGTGTGCTATCCACACATCCTATTTTACTTCTCACACACCCTTTGATAATTTATGTTCATTGATCTTCTTCAATTCATCCGATCTAATGGTCGAAAATTAAAAAAATGTGTGAGAAGTAAAATAGGATGTGTGGATATCACATTCCTAATAAAAATACCAAACTACAAAATGCCAATTGCACACACTAGTATACAATCACGACAACAACCTTTTAAAGCTGGTCTCGAGCATAGCCACGTGAACCAATCGTCTAGGCACCTGCATATCATTTCATTTGGGGTCTTTTTCTTCATCAACTAGTTGATATGTCACTTGATAGATACATGTCTTAACCTAAGTAGAACGATGGTAAATATATTTTAGGCCAAAATAAATTATATATATTAAGATGTACTTGTTGATTTCTCAATTTCCTTCCGAAACTTGTAAGAAGTTGCCAATTTTTTATCTGAACTTTAAATTTAGCTAATTTCTTCCATGAACATTAATTTTACCCGATTAACCATCTGAACTTTTATAA